AAATGGGACTCTCGCCTTGACGCTGCGCGCATTCGTCTTCCTCGCCCTAACGCCGCGAACACTCGTCTTAAAGCGTTTGTAGCAGTTTCAAGGATTCGTACGGTCGAACTCCCAATATTGGTGTTGTGGCGCGATATAGGAGTATCAGAACGCAAGAGTCCTGTTGATTCGCAGTGTTGGAGTCCAAAGAATGGCGTTCTGGCGTGATTTAGGATCGTCAGGATGCGGCGTTGAAGTCCCCGGAGCTGTGCTTGGGCACGATTCGGGACTCTCAGACGGTCGTCCTCTAACGGGCCACTTCCCGCAATTGAAAACACATCTCTTTGGGACCGATGAAGGGGAAACTTGGAGGGAAGGATGCTTGCAACATCGGTGATGCGTATTGGGTTTGTACTCGTCGTCGTCGTCCTCCTCCTCCCTTCATATCCTCCTCCTCCTCCTCCTCCTCCTCCTCCTCCTCCTCCTCCTCCTCCCCCTCCCCTTCTCCTTCTCCTCCTCCTCCTCTTTCTCCTCCCCCCCTCCTCCTCCTCCTCCTCCTCCTCCTCTCCTCCTCCTTCCTCCTCTCCCCTCCTCCCCCTCCTCCTCCTCCATCCTCCTCCTCCTCCTCCTCCTCCTCCTCTCTCCACATCCTCTCCTTTTAAACATGCACCCTCTGTCGCACCACCTAACATATCCGTTGGGCCAGGGCAGGCGTTGCGCTTGAACCAACCCTGGGAGAAATGCGATCATTGAAGCCCTCGGAAGAAGCACAACTACGTAAACGGATGGAGGGCTCAGTCTGTATTTAAAAAGGGAGGAGAGAAGAGAAGAAGGAGCAGGTAGGAGGAGGAGGAGGAGGAGGAGGAGGAGGAGGAGGAGGAGGAGGAGGACATGAAGCTCTCGCCTTCGTGCGCCGCGCACATGTCTTGTAAACGCTTGCAGCGACTACACAGGCGGAGAGCTGGTCGTTGTCGAGAAAGACTCTGGCCCTGGCGCCGTGCGCAATCGTCATCAAAACACTTGGAACAGATACAAAGACAGGGCCCTCGCCTCAACAACACGCGCGATCGTCTTCAACACCTGCAACCGTTCCAAAGATGGAGGACGGCTCGTG